ACTACACAATGAGTTACCGGTCGGGGTCTTCGGCCTCGTCTTTGGGAACCATAATGTCTTTGGGATCAACGGTTGCGAAGCCGACGATAATATGCGAGCAAATGAATGGATCGATGTCTGAGATGTTTAGGTCTCCGTCTTTGGCTCTCAACAGATAATAACAAACTCTTTTAAATGAATGCGATTCCGGTTCTGAAGAGTCAGATAAATAAAAATATGAAATTAATAACAAATTTACAAACTTTTCATAATCTAAAGTAGAATTTAATGTTTTATTATTATAAGTAAACTCTTCCTATAATTACAGTTATAATTCCTTTTGATAATAATTAGTTGTTTTTATATATAATATAAGATTTAATTATTAACAAGTAATTAATAAAACTATTATTTGAGAAACTATTAACAAAAGCCGACATTTTAATCAATAACAACATAGATATCATTGTCTGTGAGTCGACCACCTTTTGGAGAGTTCTCGAAGAATCTATCCGGAGTTTGATTGGATTCAATTTGATTGGATTCACTCATATTCTTCACGTGCTCTACAAAGTCTTCGTGAGCCAAGTCAGACATCGAGTACAGACTATCCGTATTATTCTCTTTGGACTCCAGTTTATGGTTCAATAGATTCCGATCCCAGTCTTGCGTCGATGTCTCCGGGGTTTCCGTTGTGGTCAATGTCTCGGATGTGAATTCAGTGGTAGAAACGGTGGTCGAGTTGTTTGCCTCTAACGATGAATCGCTAACATCAGAAGAAGTAGTGGTCGATCGGGAACTAGTAGTTTGAAGAGAGTTAAAGACAATCCTCCAATTATAGTCATCAATTAGATTGTCGTTCGTCGAAGTAGTGGTCGACTCTTCATCGTCCAAATCGTCGTCAGATTGGGTGACAGTATTTGACGATTTAGTGATTGTTTTCCCGTTAACAGTGATTTTGAAATCTGTTTCAATGGGGATCTTTGCTGTGACGGACGGCACGACATACCTGCGAAAACCCGCCGGCGCTTTGGGCGTAACAAACGACAGATGCATAGCTCCCGCGTGCGCTCCCCTATTGCTAACCCGGTTTGGTTTGCGAGTTGTGTGCGGAGGTCTCTCAAGGATACGTTTGGTGACCCGAACGGCGGGTTCGGGCGGCTCGGGGTCGTTGGTGTCGTTGTCGGGCGGGTCTATCTGTACGGGAAAGTGTGTAGAGGCCGAGCCCTTGGCCGGCACTTGTGGCACCATTTGTGGCACAATGATTACATGTGGCATTTGGGGCTGTTGTGACTGATAGGTTGGTGACAGTGGTTGTTGCTGTTGATACAACTGTCCGTTTCCGGCGGTCAACGCCTGCGACCGTTGCTGTTGTTGTTGGAGTAACGCCGGCGCCAACAGATTGATAAACGGCAACAGATTCTGGGCGTCAATGTTGGGGGAGGGGGTTGTGGTGGACGTCCTCTGATCGTTGCCGAGATTCAGACTGAATCTCATGGGATCGAAACGAGGGATCGCCTGATTTAGGAAAGTCCTAAACATGGTTAGACTCAAGCCCTGCATCATAAGCAGTGAGAACAGCATTTGCAGCGGACCCGCAGATAACAACCCTAAAGTCATGGCAAATGTCCTCTAGTTTTGGCAATTAGTTAAATAATAAAACAAATATTATATACACAACAAAAGACAACGAAAGTCTTAATTTACAACAAATATTATTAAATAAGAAATAAAATCAACAATATTTAAAAATCACATAATTTTTAAATATATTTTGCAAACAAAACATTTATTGATTAAATTAATTCTATATCCAATTGAATTAATTTTGACTAAACGATAATTTTTAGTTCATATTTCCAGATGTCTTTTCACTGAATTGTTTAATAACCAAATGAACTGATTTTTTACGATTCAATTCATTTATAGATAGCTTCCTATTCAACAAAATCCCAATTGTTTATTAAGTTTTCGGTTACGAAAATTATTTTATTTTATTATTAGTCAATCATTATTTATATAAATTGCTAACCGATGGCCTAAAAGTGTGATATATATTAATTATTTGATTTATTAGTTTAATTCAATTTGATTTTTAAATTCTTAAAACCATAACTAATGTAAATAATGAAAACATTAAGAAAATGAAAATTATTACAATTAAAAGACAATATAATTCATACGCTTTCGTGAATTCAATATTTAATGCAAAACATTCACGCATTACTTATTAGAAGAAATTTTGGTTTGTGTTAGAAAAACAACAACAAATCCAAATAATACCCCATTTATCGCTTCAATAGTGTTATAATTATATTTTGTAATGAAAATCGTTTAAAACACCCTTATTTTTAAACTATGTAATTTTATATTTAAAGCAAAACAGTGTTTTAAAACCATAATTGAATGTTGATTTTACATTAAATTAAAACAAACGCGAATATCTTTATTAGTGTCCGCACTATAATTACTAAATTTATTATTTCCCTAAACTTTCACTTACTTTCTAATTAATTTCATTTTCACCTAATTTTAAATTATAAGTTTTACTTTAAATAAAAGATTAATTGTAATTTTCTATTTTTTCCTTAAATGCATTAAATTAAATATACATTTAAATGTACATGATTAATTATGTTATTTATTAAACACCATTAATACCTTTATTAATAAGTTATGTAACTATTAAATATACCAGAAATTTATTATTAGTTTTTATTATCTTTATTAATAATTTAAAATACGATAAGGAATTAAAATTAAGTTATAATAAAATATATACAAATTCAAAGTCAATAACTTGTTTATTGGAAGCCATTGTACAGAATAATAGTACTGTCGGTATATATAGACAGAAAAATTGCCAAAAATTACAAATATTGGTAAAAGTTGTATAATTTTTAACCAAATGATTTGTTTTTATGTATAATTATTTCGCAAACAGTATTAAAATTTACAATACATTAGAAATGAAAAATCAAGGCTTTATATGAAATTGGTTTTAAGCAAAATTTGTTACAATCATTTTGTAAGAGTTTAGGCATTATTTTGTATATAATCTCTCATACATGTAACGATGTAACGAGAGTACAGTCTATCGCTTTATGTAAAGTAATTGTATATCAAAAAACTTTTGTATAACTTGTCATTTGATTATAGTCTTGATTAACAAACAGTGTATATAAGCTGTTATGTAATTGTATTGTAGTTTTGATAGAATCTAATAATACATCTGAAGAGAAATGTGCCCAAAAAATCAGTAATCAATAAAAATTAATTTACAAATCAAATAGTAATAAATGTGTAAATATTGGAGAAATCATAAGTTACTAAAACTGAATTACTATTAATAAAACCATTACGTGTAATATTAGCCGGAATTTAAGTGAATAGAAGTACAATAACATACAATTCATGGATATTTATAATACATAATATTCTTATGTTTGATCTATTGCTTTGTTGAGCACTTCCTTAATAATAAAACTTCAGCTGATATTCAATATTAAGACATAATTTATAGCTTCAATACTACTATAGTTTTAGCCCAAACCCAGAAATAGTAGATTTTGACTGCTTTTATACATAACATTGTGAGAGACTTTTCATCACTTGATGTCTTATAGATATTTTATGATTGATTTCCAGTGAATACAACAGATAAATACGGAAGTGTTTCCATAATAATAATATTAGAAACAGAATTAGACATAAGAATGGATGCAATCATATTAGGGGTTCAATAATATTTACCATATAATACAGCCATCACTTAATATAAGCAATAAAAACATTATTTACAACAAAATTATTTTATGGCATGTGTTTTTATATGTTGTCACTGTTTGTTTGGCATTAACTCGTTATCAAATAAATAAAAATCACATTTCATATTGTATTGTATTATAATTTAGTATTTATATGTAGCGTATAAATATTATTGTCAATATTAATCAATTAACTAATTATTAATTAATAAACTTCTTCATACCATTTACTACAACAGAATTGATAAATAAATAACATCTAAAAGTCTAACAATTATTATTTATGTAGATTTTGATCAGAAAAAACAGCTCAAAAAAGTTCACTAAAAGAGTGAACATATAATTAATAAGTTATTGGCGTTTAAGAGATGGTACAGCTCTGGGGCTTTAGGGCAACCTTTCGGGGTTTAATACGAGGCGATGCTATAAGTAATGGTTCCCTTTTGGCCATCGATTGTGTTTGTAGTATATATTGGGATTGTTTTTGTCGGACGAGTTCTCGTAGAATCCATATTACATTGTCATTGCTTTTGGCCGAACACTCAACGAAACCCATTTCCCAATCGATGTTTATCACGGTTTCGGCCAATTCTTTCTTCACCACACGTTTCTCCGATAAATCTGCCAATCATTTAGTTCAACACGTTTTAAATATAATGCATATTTATAGAAATCCGCAATTTTTATAAATCATCATATTAATATGTTTGCTAAATTAGTAGATTTCATAAAAAATTGAATACAAAAATTTTAAAAATTTAATTAAACTTTTGGAGAAATTAAAGATTTCCAATTCTTATGCACACAATAATAAAAATTATGAGATATATTTTATCCTAAATTGTTAACTCTATTAATGAAATACTTAAAATATTAAAATTATTATGTATTTTAGTCAATATTCTCATAAGTTTTGTAAAATAAGTTAAATGTAAAAATGTTTGTTTTACAAATCACAAATAACTTTTCAAATACACATTAAAACATTTTATTAAGTTTTAAAACATGTATTAGATCATTTGAAAACACTTTTTCACATTTGAAATTCATTTATTGTTACATATTTTAATAATTATTTATGTTTTGTTTATCAATTTATTGTCTCGACTATTATTATAATATCAGACAATAATAAATCATATTATCTATATTAATAATTTAACATAAATATTAAATTTCTATATAATTATAGATAAAGAATATTGAATAATAACTATAGAGTCTATAGAGTCTATAGTATAGACTAACAAATGTTTTTATTAAAAATTTAATTATTATTTATTCACTAAAAACCAAATTCCTTACAAATGGCTTATCATTTATTTATCAAAGATGTGCTCAAAATGTGTTGAGACAATAATTCTTTGCCCCATTCTGTTGACACTAATTAGCTTTATATATGTATTCTTTGTCCAATAAATTTATTATTTATTCCCCAATAAATTTATAATTAATTTAATTTTTGTCACTTTATATTTAGTCCATACAATGCATTGAATATGCAGTATACTGTACAGCGGTAATAAGTCACCAGGTTAAAGTAGCGGTTTTAACATTTTAACCTGGTTACTTATTACACAGTTTGTACTGTAATATAAAAAGCTCTAATATTATACATTTAGTTTGATATTAATAACTAGTTTTCTTATCAACAGATTCTCTATTTATTCAAAACATATAAATATAAATGGATTTTATTCAATACCTTTAATAACTAATAAACAGACTTTGACTTAATTCAGTCAAAATATAGTGAAAAGACTGTCTGGACTTTTGTATAAAAGTCGAGTACAGTATATACTCTAGGGTGACAAAGTCGCCATCTTTCTCACCTTGGGTAGAGTGTTACAAAGTTTTAATATACATTGGTATATAATTTAAACATTAAGATAAATAAATTATTTGTATTAATACTTAGTAGCACTCTACTCAAGGTGAGAAAGATGGCGACTTTGTCACTCTAGAGTATATACTGTGCAATGTTTTTGAGACACTTTTGTATTATTGTTAAACACATTTGATTTATACCTTTTAGCACTTTTAACTATACGTAAGCTTTAATGATGATTGAAAAGAAATGCAACGATTCGTTGATCTCTTACTACAGGTATATTAAAGTGCTGTATATTCTTAACAAATCAATATTCATACCGCAAATCAAAACTACACGTACACTAAAAATTGATGGAAATTAACCTTGCTTAAATATAATATGTATTAAGTGAGAAACAAGATCTATTCATTATTTTCCAGACTATTTTTCTAGCAATTCTTGGTATAACACAAACAAAACGCTATAATGAAATGAAATGAAATCAACAACATTTTCTATAATTTAATGCTTTTATACAAAAAATATATTAAATCCAATCACAGAATTGGCATATATTTTGATAAATTGCTAAAATGTTATTATCGAAAACATATGAAAAGAGAAAATATATTTGTAATAGAATTTTGACTCCAAATATTGTATGCATTTTGTGTGCTAATAGTGTATTGAATAAAATCAAATACATTGTATACAATGCGTGGGAATCAAATTAATAATTGTTACAGTTGTTTGCGAATATGGGTTGAAAAAACTTTAATTGAATTGAATATCATAAATGCATTAATGTAATACAATAATAGTTTACCTGATTTATTGCCAACCGTGACAATGGGTGGTATATCAGGCCCTCTTTGCGCTAAGATCTCGTCCTTAAGTCGGGTCACCTCATCGAAGGAGTCCATGTCGTCGATCGCATAAACCAATACAAACGCATCTCCAGTACTCATCGCTAACTTTCGCATTGCTTTTATACAAAGTTATATATAAAATGTTTCAATCAAATACCGTTTAAATCAATAGAAACGTAACTATTTTTGGAAATGTATTAAAATGTGTTCATTCTATTCAAGATATTATTTTCTATTTTATTTGTATCAAAAATTCAAAATATTTATTGAGTAATATTGTTTATTATATACACTGTTTGCTATTTTTATAAATTATAAAAATACAGAATTTACTTTTAAACAAACATTTTTAGCTAATAATTATATCCAGCGGATTCCAAAATAGAGAGGGGCTTTTATTATTTGAACGTGGTTAATGTTTAACCTTGGTAATTTTTATGTATTACTCACTATAAATGTGAATAGCGTATGAATAATGTGCACTATTTTTTATAAATTTACACTACGTTGACACATTGGAATGCTGTGATTATATCATATTCAATTATTTGAATCTATCTTTATTATTAGGTTTATATTAACTTAGTAGAGCAGTAAATTTTATTTTTACCTGTTTATTAATAACAGAAATATTCATTAATATAAAATAAATCTCTATTTTTAGATTAAAATACAAATGATTAGAGATATTAGCATAACGTGTTTGAGTCACGTTTCGCTGTTGTATGACCATGTCTCGTCTACTATTGCATAAACAGCATATTCGTTTTATAATACATTTGTACTTATTTGATGATTGCGTTATACTTTTTTCTATATTAATAGTATTAATTCAATACTTATGTTAATTTAAAACGCTAACAGGAATTACACAAAATCTCAATCAAATATTCAATGTATTGATTTACAAAGGATTAGATGTGACTCAAAAAACGTGTACAAAAAGTTATAATACATAATAATTGCATGAATTGTGTAATCATTAAGAGATTTAAAGTAGTTTTGTCAAGCATTACAATGTATTAGTATTTACTGTTTTCATTGATGTGCTCTTTAGGGGGTTTAGACCTGCTATAAGTGCTCATCACTACATCGACTTCAAGCATAGTTTGAGATTTTGTCCATTCAAGCACTTATAGCACTACTGTATAGTTTAGACCACTCCGCAAGGGATATACATTTATAGGTTAATACTATTGTATGTTATATTGTATGGATTAAATAAATCTATTATCCCATGGATTCTTCAATTATTTGAAAATATAGTTCAAGAACTAAATNTGAATATCATAAATGCATTAATGTAATACAATAATAGTTTACCTGATTTATTGCCAACCGTGACAATGGGTGGTATATCAGGCCCTCTTTGCGCTAAGATCTCGTCCTTAAGTCGGGTCACCTCATCGAAGGAGTCCATGTCGTCGATCGCATAAACCAATACAAACGCATCTCCAGTACTCATCGCTAACTTTCGCATTGCTTTTATACAAAGTTATATATAAAATGTTTCAATCAAATACCGTTTAAATCAATAGAAACGTAACTATTTTTGGAAATGTATTAAAATGTGTTCATTCTATTCAAGATATTATTTTCTATTTTATTTGTATCAAAAATTCAAAATATTTATTGAGTAATATTGTTTATTATATACACTGTTTGCTATTTTTATAAATTATAAAAATACAGAATTTACTTTTAAACAAACATTTTTAGCTAATAATTATATCCAGCGGATTCCAAAATAGAGAGGGGCTTTTATTATTTGAACGTGGTTAATGTTTAACCTTGGTAATTTTTATGTATTACTCACTATAAATGTGAATAGCGTATGAATAATGTGCACTATTTTTTATAAATTTACACTACGTTGACACATTGGAATGCTGTGATTATATCATATTCAATTATTTGAATCTATCTTTATTATTAGGTTTATATTAACTTAGTAGAGCAGTAAATTTTATTTTTACCTGTTTATTAATAACAGAAATATTCATTAATATAAAATAAATCTCTATTTTTAGATTAAAATACAAATGATTAGAGATATTAGCATAACGTGTTTGAGTCACGTTTCGCTGTTGTATGACCATGTCTCGTCTACTATTGCATAAACAGCATATTCGTTTTATAATACATTTGTACTTATTTGATGATTGCGTTATACTTTTTTCTATATTAATAGTATTAATTCAATACTTATGTTAATTTAAAACGCTAACAGGAATTACACAAAATCTCAATCAAATATTCAATGTATTGATTTACAAAGGATTAGATGTGACTCAAAAAACGTGTACAAAAAGTTATAATACATAATAATTGCATGAATTGTGTAATCATTAAGAGATTTAAAGTAGTTTTGTCAAGCATTACAATGTATTAGTATTTACTGTTTTCATTGATGTGCTCTTTAGGGGGTTTAGACCTGCTATAAGTGCTCATCACTACATCGACTTCAAGCATAGTTTGAGATTTTGTCCATTCAAGCACTTATAGCACTACTGTATAGTTTAGACCACTCCGCAAGGGATATACATTTATAGGTTAATACTATTGTATGTTATATTGTATGGATTAAATAAATCTATTATCCCATGGATTCTTCAATTATTTGAAAATATAGTTCAAGAACTAAATCAAATGAATCTAGGTTTTACCTAAAAATAATCATCACATAAAATGACTAATTCCTTGTTATTTTAATATTATTTGATAGTAAAGTATTATACATGTATAATACTTTATATCCAGAAATTAAACAGCTCTATCTTTAATTTTAATGTCACGTTTATATTACCTGGTACAAAAGTCATTTTATAGCATCTATTATAGCCAGTAACAATTTTTAATAACTTTTTATTAACTATAATTATTCTATAATAAATATTTGGCGATTTTGAAAAAGTCTGATTTTGCCTAAAAGTCAATGTTGTAATAAATTATTAGAATTATAAATGCATTGATTATTTGAAAATTAATTGAATTTGTATCAATTAAATAAACTCGTTTATAAACGCGGGCAATGCATCATGATTAATTATGTGAAACTTTGTATCTCAAAGCTTTTATTTTCATATGTAGAAAATTTTGTTCTATTATATCATGAACCGGCACTCAATGTTCCTGGGAACATTTATTGTATTATAATTTATGCTACTAAAAACTTTTATACTTGGTGATTCATATATAGCATGTTACTAATATTAATTGGGGCTTTTCTATATTTATATATAATGAACTTAATTAATACAAAAATTTACATAGGGCAGTAAATAATTTAAAAAAGCGTAACATTTATCATGATTAATAAACAAGAAATCATCAATGTCAGACAACACTCACGTCTAATTATTTTTAAAGTGTGCCGGTTCCTGATTATATTCTTAATTAATTATAGTTAATATAATCTATTAATAAAATATAACACAGCATTAAATTAAGTGTATTAATCCATTATAAAAAATTAAAAAACCTAAAACTAAATTAATTAATCTGTGTAATCATGTAATTATTTCTTAATTTATTATAATATTTACAGTCATTTTTAGAATAATATCAATAGTTTGTAAAAAAGGTTTTGATTAAAATAATACATTATATTCATTTATTTCTACTTTAAAGTGCATTGATTTATAAACTTAATAATATTAAAAATTTTATTTAAAGGTTATTAACCTTTAAAAGAGGTAAAAATTTATATTTTATAAAAACACAGAATATTTAATTCAAACATAAAAATTGTTTTACTTTTATTTTTGTTTGCTTTGCAATATATTCCGTGATATGCAAAACGGATTTGTATATATTCTTGAGAGTCAATAAAACTTTGGTATAAAAATATTCTCTATGTTTTAGAATACATACAGAATATATAAATACAGTGTATATAATAATCAAATTATGTTATTATTTGAGTGTTAACTTAATTATATGTTAGATAAACTTTATGCCGAGACTATAAACGAGATTTTTAAAAGCATTTTTATTGACATTTGTTGTATGAAATTGTATTATTAGATTGTGTGATAAGATTTAATGTGCATTTTGTATGACAATGGATGCATACCTGGGAAGGTATAGCTGCCACTCGTGTCCAATAACTCCAGAGTGAGTGTGAGATCAGAGTCTTTGAGTTTATAGTCGTTCTGATAGAGCTCTTCAATCGTCGGTTTATGTATTTCTTCAAACTTATCCGACAGTAAACGTCTCACTATCGATGTCTTACCTCAAGTCCCAGAATAAATCAAATCAATAATAAATATGTGTATAAATATACTGTTAGACAAAACAATTTTTGTGTTGAACTTCAAGTTCAGACGCGCGCCAATTGATTGCAAAGTAAATATAAATTCAATCAAATTATAAGTATATAATATTCATAGATTTTGTATATAAACAATGTCTATATCGTTATGAAAATACACAGCGATTGAGTGGTTGGGCATGAAATGAGCCGATGGTTTAGGAGAGAGGGAGCTATAGATTGGGATAAAGAGATAAAAGAGCATAAATTCAAGTTTGATATATCTCTTGAACGAGTGATGAGAGGAAGAGTGAGAGTGTAGTGAACTCTCAATGACTTCATTCATACAATTCATTGACTTTTTTCTTCGATATCATTTTCTTTAGCGATTCTGACGATCGATAGATCATTTCATTGAAGAATTTTTATTGATATATAAATATTGTTCACATATTTTGCTCGTTAACAGAATAATGTCAATCAATCAACAATCTATTGAATTGCATTCATATTTTTGTTTGTCAATTATAAATCATTTATCATATATTGCTTTGCATACTATTTGCACAAAAACAATGTTTTGCAAATTATATCTGACTTCAATAAAGATTAGCATACATTACTAATATATATTAGCTTGTAATGCAAACATTTCGCAATTTATCTTGATTGAATAGTTTTATTTGACATTTTATCTAGTTAACATATATTTGTATATCTGTATAAATATTATTTTATCTATATAATTCATTA